AGCATTCGTGAGGTGTGAGTGCATGTGACATCGTGTACATACTTTGGATCCAAGTCTGTAGACGCCTGTTGTTAATCCACCGCTGTCAAGTGGATTCCAACTCCTAGCGCTCTTCTGTTGAGTTTCTGAGGCTCTAAATCTCTAAATGGGAAGAGACTTTTCTTTCTAGCTGGATTCAAACAGCTGACCTTCTGATTCACAGCCCTACACATTACACATGCCCCACAAGGACCCGTGTGGTTTTTAAATTTCATTTAACTTTCTTATTTTTGTGTGTGTGTACCATCAAATTGGATCTGACAGGTACAGGAGGAGATTGTCCCTCCTTCTCCAGCAGAGCATCTGGTGGATTTGAACTGCGCACCTCTGAGATTGCAGTACCCCAGAGCTCGCCTACGCCTGTGGTTCTTTAAAGGGTGTTTAGGTGTGGTGTGCACAGATGGGTGCACATCACCAAAGCACGTAAGCAGCCCTGCTGGTTCATCAGCTAAGTGCTTGGCTGTTAACTGAAAGGTAGGTGGTTCGAACCCACTGAGTGGCTCCACGGAAGATTGACCCAGCAGTCAGTTTTCTGTAGACATCACAGTCCTGGCAACCCTGTGGGGCAGTTCTACTCTATCTTCTAGGGTCACTAAGTAAACGGACTGGACGTCACCCTACAACGACCTGGCATTTAGTGATGATGGTCGGAGTTGAACAGGCCCATTTTTTTTTCCTGGAAATGGAAGATTCACAGGATCTTAAATGGACTTTGAGGTCTCAATAAACCCTTATAATAAAAACAGGGATACTATTGTGCCATGTGTGTGGCAAATGCTAGCAGTCAGAGTGAAGTTCAAAGGAAGTCACCTGCAAAGGGCTGAGCACCTTCCCGGCAGGTCCCACCTTGCTTTGCTCAGCCCCACCCAGTGTTCTCCCGATATCCAATTGGTCCAACACCCTGACTGGAACCATTTTCCTCTTATCTGCCTTCTGATAAGCCCTGAGGCCCTGTGTTTGCTCAGTGGTGGTTCTGTCCATTTTCTATGCATTAAAGTCCTACTACGTGATAGTACCTTGGGAGCTCTGCTCAGAACCTTCCCTGCCGTCTCAAAGGCACGGGATTTGAATCCACTTCTGCAGGACATGAATGGGCTACCTCCTCCCCTACAATTTACTGCCTCTGAAAACCCGCTGAAGGATCGGTTCTGACTTGACAGCTCACAACAGCAACAACATGTTCTTGTGGGAAGCCAAATATCATACTAAATGCTGTTGTTATGTGCCATCGAGTCACCTGCGGCCCTGTGAACATCAGCCCTAAATCCTGTTCTAGCCGGTTCCAATCTCACTATCTCTGACACACCTATCCCCCTACAACTACCCCAGTCACTAAATCAATCCATCTCATCGAGAGTCTTCCTCTCCTGCGCAGTCCCCTCCACTCTCCCAAGCATGACGTCCCTCTCCAAGGGCTGGTCTCTCCTTGCAACATGTCCAAAATATGTCAGACGGAGCTTCAGAATCCTTGCCTCCAAGGAGCAGCCCGGCTTCACCCTCTCGAGGACAAACTTGTTCGTTTTCTTAGCAGTCCATGGTATATTCAACACTCTTCTCCAACACCACAGCTCAAAGGCATTAATTCTCCTTCTATTAGCCCTAGTCATTGTCCAGCTTTCTTTCTTTTTTTTTTTATTGTCCAGCTTTCTAATGCATAGCAAGTGGTTGCAAAGACCATGACCTGTATCAAGCGCACCTTAGTCTCCAGACTGACATCGTTGCACTTCAGTTCTTTAGAGAGGTCTCTAACCGCAGACTTTCCCACAGCAATACGTCTTTTAATTTCCTGGCTGATGGTGCCAAGAGTGTTGACTCTGGAGCTAAGCAAACTGAAGCTGTGAACAATCTCAATTTCTTCACCATCCATCATGATGCTGCCAATCGGCCCAGTAGTGAGAATCTTTGTTTTCTTGATATTGAGCCTCAATCCATACTGAAGACTGCAGATCTTGACCTTCCACAGCAAGCACTTCAGGTCCCCCTCAGTTTCAGCAAGCAGGGTTTTGTCATCTGAATAATGCAGATTGTTGATGATTCTTTCTCCACTCCTGATGCCACATTTCTCCTCGTAGAGCTCAGCTGCCCGCATGATCTGTTCTGCATAAAGATTGAAAAGGTATGGAGACAAGATACATCCATGGCATACACCCTTCCCAATTTTGAACCATGCAGTGTTTCTTTGCTCTGTTCTGACGACTGCCTCCTGGTCCAAGTATAGGTTTCACATTAGCACAATCCTTAAGTGTTCTGGGAATATTTACAATAAACTAAATGCCATATCAGGAAAAGAGGGAGGCTCGGATACAAGCTAGAATTCACCCTTTAGATGTTTACAGGGGTAGGCAGTAAAGCAAACCTTAAACATTTACTCAATTCTTGTATTTGCTAACCCCTCCCTCCTGAGTCAATAGAAAGAGCTTAGCTTCATTTGCATAGAACTCTATTTGTGATTTGCGGGAAATTTTCAACAAAGGCGCAGGGAAGCTGGGATCTGCGCTTCAGTTGTTCAAACTTCTCGCCCCCCTGCTTTACCTCTGTTTACTTACACATTCTTGGTGTTCTCTCTTGTTATTAATATACTTGACCCTCGGTCGGTCGACAACAAGTTCTGGTGGTGGTGTCCTGTTAAGAAGCTGTGCTCCAATGCCAAAGGCATGCCGTTTGAATCCACCAGCTGCTCTATGGGAGAAGGATGGGTAGTTTCATCCTGCACAGTTTACTGCCTCTTAAAACGCACTGGAGGGTCAGCTCTCAGCAGTTCTGACTCCATGGCACACAACAACAACAACGGGCTGGTGGCGGATCACAGCTGAAAGCAGAGAATACCAGGAGGATCTCTATCTGTATTCTACTATGTAAAGACATTTGACTGTGTGGATTATAACGAATTATGGCTACTAACATCGGGAAGACTAGGTATCCCAGCACACTTCGTTTTGTTTATACTAAGCAGGAGTGGCCTCCACTTCCTAAACAACATGCCTCTGGAAACTCTATGAACTTGGATAAATGTCGCTAGTTGTAGAGGCGCTTCAGGCCTTTTGTTCACAGGGTTCCTATGAGTCGTGCTTGAATAGAAAAAAATTAACAACAATAACAGTTGTGTTATACATACACCAAGAAGCTATTATACAAACAGAGCAAGGGAAGCCTGTGTGGTTTAAAATCAAGAAAGGTGTGCATCAAGGCTGTATCTTTTCTCCATAACTATTCAATCTGTAGGTTTGGCAAATCTTTCTCAAGAAGCTGAACTACAGGGAGCTCTGGTGGCCTAGTGGCAAGACACTGCACTGCAATTCCAGAGGTACAGGTTCGAATCCACCAGATGTTCTACTGAAGAAGGAGGGGCAATCTCCTCCTCTACCAGTCAGGTCCGATTTGACGGCACACACACACAAAAATAATAAAAGAATTTTTTTAAATAAAGAAGCTGGACTATATAAATAAGAATGTGGCATCAGGAAGAAGACTCATTAACAGCTGGTGTTATGCAGATGACACAGTCTTGCTGGCAGAAATAGAAGAGGACTTGAAGCATTTGCTACAGATCAAAGATGACAAGAGCCTTCAAGACATCTCAATCTTAAGAAAACAAAACCCCTCGCCACTGGATCAACAGGCAACATGCTGGATAGAGAGAACATTGGGTTCACAATGAGTATCGTCGGTGCCAGTGGTCAAGAAACGAAAAAGATCAACAAATGATAGAGAAGCTGTGGTATAGTCACACAATGGAATACTATGCAGCACTGAAAAACAAGGAACTCATGAAATATTATGCAAAGTGGATGACCCTGGAGGATATATCTCGGTCACAAAAGGACAAAGATTTTATAGGGTCACTGTTGTAAAACGGGACTGACATCAGGGTTGGGGGGAGATGGTGCTTTAAGCCACCAAGTTTTGCATTTCTGCATACCAGTGGACCACGGCCCCTTCTCTCTGTCTCTCTCTCTCTGTCTGTCACACACAAACCCACACACACTCTCTGGCTCTCTCTCTCAGCAAGGGCTCTTACTCCAGCAAGGGCTTGGGGAGGTTGATTAAGGCCCCAAATGGCTCCCCCAGCACAATTATCATTAACATATGAAAGAAGATAAATTATTGCATCTTTGTAAAACCTAAGAAACAAGAGTGTATATGAAGACTCAATATTATTAATATATGAAAGAAGATAAGAAAGCCAAGAAACGGGGATTAGCATGAATTCCTGCTTTAATATCCACAAAGAAGTTAATTGCACCTACATGAATACTACCATTTCAACACTTTAAAATACACAGAATGTAAGAAAATCAGAATTGCAATCGCTTTATATAACTTTCTCGTTGGGCTTTCTTGGAGGCGGGTGCTATCTGCTGGGGTTACGGATCACGCTGAGGGGTGTGAAGTCTGTGGGGGCGGCAGAAGCCACTGCTGAGACAGCTGTGGTCTGGGTTCTGGGGACCCCTTGGGGTCAGGATGCTGCTTCTTTGACAAATAAATATAGGCGGCCCTGTCTGCTGGGGAATCCAGGACCTTCTGTCCCAAGGCCGTCCCCTAGAGCCCAAAGACCAACAACGCCATGGCCAAACCCTTCCTCCATGACCAAACCCTTCCTCGAGGTGAGGGCAAAATATGTGTATGTCACTCTGCTGGTGCTGAGGAAGTGTGCACTCCAGATCTTAATGCAGTCCACATTCTCAAGCTACTGAAATGCTCACAGGGGGTGCTAGGCACACGGTGGTCATTTCCTGTCCCCTGTGTCAGCTTCTGGAGTCCTCAGGGGAGCTGCTGTCAGCTCTGTACGGTGACCGCTGTCACGTGGCAGAGAGGGTAAGCCACGTGTCCATGGTCACTCAGCCTGGAAGCAGCAAAGCCTAGACTCAAACTGGACGGCACTGGCTCCACCCAGCCCCCCTCACTAGAGCAGGACTAGTGGCCGTTCTTGGGGCCATCAGCCAGGAGGCCCACTCACCCACTCATGGCCCCAGGTTCGCGGCCATGCCCACCCACTCCGGGAGGAAGCTGGCTTTGGGCCTGAAGACCAGGCGGAAGGGGGAGTCCGGCAGCGTGAAGTTGTCCAGGTAGACGGTGTCCCCGCCGGCCAGGTAGGCGGCCCAGAAGCCGAAGGTGCCGATGGTCATGATGGTGTGGTTGCACTGGGTCAGCAGCGCGAAGTCCCTGGCGGGCGAGCCTTGCAGGCCTTTGCCGGCAAACACGACGTCCCCGAGCGAGGCGTTGATGTGCCGCCGACACCAGGCCATGTCGTCGCTGGTGACCACGAAGACGCAGTCGCGGTGGCGCGCCCGGAACCAGTCGAGGGCTCGCTGCAGGTAGCCGGGGTCGGCCAGCACGCCCCTCCACACCTGCGGCATGACGCGCAGGTAGTCACCCCTGCGCACGTGCACCCCCACGAAGGTCACCGTGCGCGCGCGCTGGGCCTGCAGCTCCCCGAGCAGGCGCTGCGCGCCCTGGCGCAGGTGGCCATGCAGGGTGAACTCGCTGAGGATCTCGGCGCGCAGGTGGTGGTAGAAGGTCCAGGAGCAGGGGTAGCCCGTGAGGTGCACGTACCTCCCCGGGATGTTGCGGTACTTGTCCTCCATCCAGTCCTTCAGCCGGTAATCCACCCAGGGGATCCTGCTGGCCACGGCGCTGGGCAGGACGGGCAGCGTGATCCTGAAGACCGGGGCCAGCGTCCGGTGCATCTGTGCGGGGATGAAGGCTGGACGCCCGTTCATCTTGGCCAGGGCGTACAGGGTGGCGTACTGACCCATCTGGTTGCCCAGGCGGCCGATGGAGTTGATGGTCCACGCGCCCTCTTGGGGCAGGTGCTCCGGGAGCAGGACCACGTGCATCGGGTAGGCCCAGGGACCGGACACCGGGGCCATGCGCTGGTAGCAGTGGAAGATGGTGGCCATCGTGAAGATGACCAGGAGCACGTAGACCTTGGAGAGGTCAGGGCACACGGCCCTGAGTCCCGTGATGCCTGCGGAGAAAGAGAGAGGCCGTTAGCCGGGAGGGATGTTGGGGAGCCTCCACTCACGCCCCCGTCCCAATCATTCACTCACTCGTTCAATCAGTCCCCTCTAAACGAGTCACAGCTGAAACCCCACGGGAGGAGACTGCTCATCTTGCTAGGATGGCAGCTGATGGATTCAAACCACATGCCTTGGGGTTGGCAGTGCAATTCCTTACCACTATGCCACGTAGCCCACGCTGCGAGACCCACCATGCAGGTCTAAAGGACACGGATGCTGAAACTCAGCCCACCCCTTACAATGGCTGTGTGACTTCAGTCAGCTTCCTCATATGATAAACAGGGGTAAGGCGGTCGGGCTACTTGAAATTGCCACCATCTGACCAAATTTTGGGTGGTTTGGTTTTTTTTTTAATTAATTTTAATGAAAGTTTACAGAGACAGGTTTTCCAGTCATTCACTGTTGCACTTTTCTCCCTACCCGCCCCCGCCCCAATTCACTCCTCTCCTTGTAAAGAAAGACTCTTTTCATTGTTATGTAATTCCTTCCCCCCAAGTCCACTCCACCATGCAGCCTTCCCTCTGAACTTCTGTAATGACAAGAATACCCATTCATATACCCCTGTTAAACAGTTCACTCCCTCATATACATCACTCCTCCCCTCCTTCTGTCTTCCCTCAACCCAGATGTCAGTCCCGTTTTACAACAGTGGCACTATGCAGTATTTGTCCTTTTGTGACTGAGATATTTCACTCAGCATAATGTCCTTCAGGGTCACCCATCTTGCATAATACTTTATGAGTTCCTTGTTTTTCAGTGCTGTATAGTAAGTATTCCATTGTGTGAATATACCACAGCTTCTCTATCCATTCTTTTGTTGATAGTCACTTGGGTTATTTCCAGCTCTTTGCTATTGCGAACAAAGCCACGATAAACATGGGTGTGCATATATCGGACCAAGTTTTAACTACACGAAGAGTCATTTCACACACTGTAACCTGAGGTCTCCCAGTGGCATAGATGGATGGCTCTCCTGAACGGTGATCAGTTTGAACCCCACCAGAGAGGAGACGTTTGGTCAACATGGTGATTAACAGACCTGTGAGCAGCTGCTGGGGACAGGCGTGGAGCCCCAAGTTCAGTGGCCTGAGTGCTTCCAAGTAAAGCCCAACTATGGGGTCCTGCTTGTTGGGGTGGGGCGGAGGGCTACACGGGAGAGCTGCGGTTCCAGCCTGAGCCTGGGTGACCCCCAAGTGAGGAGGGTGAACTCTGCAGGGACTAAGAGCCCGGGGTGCGTGGCACCGCCCTCCTCTCCCCACAAATAGCCAGTTCCAAGCTCACACACTCCCCCGTGTGGCGTTTCATCAGCCTCACAGCTACGTCTTGGGGTTTCAGCCTGAAAACTCCCAAAAATTAAAAGCCTCGTGGATGCTGCTTTCAAGGTCTTGGGAGGTGAGGGGGTAGGGAGGGCAGTCCTCAGTCTACACTCTCCAGAAGGTGGGGGCCACTCCAGCCTGAGCTGAACTCAGCCGAAGGCAGAGTGGGCACCGATAGCCTGGCAGCTACTTGAAGACCAGTGTGAAAACCACGTGTAGAAATAACCCTTCTAGGGAGCTCTGGTGGCCTAGTGGCAAGAAGCTGCACTGCAATCCCAGAGCTATACAGTTCGAATCCACCAGATGCTCTGCTGGAAAAGGAAGGACAATCTCCTCCTGCACCAGTCAGATCTGATTTGACGGTACACGTGCACAGAAATAATAATAACAATAAATTAGAAATAACCCTTCTAATGACAGGCCCCCCCACCCAGGGCGCATTAAACTGGGCACACAGGAAGTCCCCCCAACGCCGGCTCCACTGTGCCGGTTTCTCACCGCAGAATTCTTGGGTCTAGCTGGGGGGTCTCAGCGCATTTCCTCCTCATGAACCCCATGAGGAAGGCGCTTGTTTTTCTTCATTTAACAGAAGTGGAAACTAAGGCACAGCGAGGCGGCGCCGGACACTTGCTCCAAGTCACCCAGCAGGCAAGGAGGAGGCAGCGTCTGATCCCAGACAGTCTGACCCTCAGCCTCTGCCACTTTCCTGGGCTTGGCCAGTCATTACGTCCCGGTTGACGGGCACCCAAACATGAACCCTCTGGGGTGCTGTGCACACCTCCGCGCTGCACCCTCGTCTCTCGGACGATCTAGGGGAATGAGGTCCTCTCCTCTCCGTTCTGGTGCTCCTGCCCCTCCCCTACCTCCCCAGGGGACCCTCAGGGGCGCCAACACCACCCACCCACAAGGCTTTTAGGACCCCGCTGCGGGTCTTCAGAGGCTGTGACTCGCTCTGGAGGTGACTGCTGGTGGATTTGAATTGTCTGAGAGGGTCAGACTCCCGAGTTAGCGGCACAAATCCCAGTGTACTAGAAATCCCAGTGTACTAGGCCGCCAGCGGTCCCTCCTGGACACAGACCCCCTTGGGACACAGCCCCCATGACACAGGTCTCCTGAGACACCCCCCTGGGAAACAGCCCTCCCTGGGACACGGGCCCCCCTGGGACACACACTCCCCTTAGGACACAGTTCCCCTAGGACACAGCCCCCTCCCCACCCCAGGGTCCTCCCTGGGACACATCCCCTAGGACACAGGCCCCCCACACACACACACAGCCCCCAGGGACACAGGTCCTCCTGGGACACACATCCTTTAGGACACAGGACATCCCCTGGACAAAGCCCCCTGGGACACAGGCCCCTCTAGGAGACAGCACCCTCGGGACACCCACATAGCCTCCCACAGGTTTCCCCCAGGACAGCCTCCCTCGGAACAGCCCTCCCCAGAACACAGGCCCCCTCGGCAGCATTAAGTGCTCCAGTTCCCAGCACTCTAGTCCAGGTAC